ATTTAACTGAATAGTGCCCTGACTTAGTGATGTGAATAGAGTCAACATTTAACTGAATAGTGCCCTGACTTAGTGATGAGCAGAGTCGACATTTAACTGAATAGTGCCCTGACTTAGTGATATGAGCAGAGTCGACATTTAACTGAATAGTGCCCTGACTTAGTGATGTGAACAGAGTCGACATTTGACTGAATAGTGCCCTGACTTAGTGATATGAGCAGAGTCGACATTTAACTGAATAGTGCCCTGACTTAGTGATGTGAGCAGAGTCGACGTTTGACTGAATAGTGCCCTGACTAGTTATAGACACCCACAGTCCTCTCCCAGGAAGAGTCAACCAAGATACTGTCAGATGAAACTGAGCAGTCTGAATGGGCAGCTGGGTGTGCACTAAGTGGTTCATGTTCCCCCACAGGCCGTCTTCACAGACCTGGAAGTCCTGGCTGCCATTTTCGCGGCTGCCATCCACGACGTCGACCACCCAGGGGTCTCCAACCAGTTTCTCATCAACACAAGTGAGTTTGCCACTGGCACAGTCATTTGAGATAATCGCACGAGTCAGTGTTTAATTTTTTTTCCACCTAATGTTTTCATTGTGGGGAACAACAAGGATGGTGAGGAGGTAACGCTCCCATTCCTCTCCAGCTGGTCGGGCCTCTCCTGGATTCTGTGTCCCCTCTGGCAGCACAATATTTGAGCTGCAGAGAGAACTGGACAGGGTCAGAGGGGAGACATAAAAAGTTCTCAAAGTTGGGCAGCGCCTGTGGCTCAAATGAGTAGGGTGCCAGCCCCAGATACCAGAGGTGGTGGTTTCAAATCCGACCTGGCCAAAAACTGCAAAAAAAAAAAAAAAAAACAGTTCTCAAAGTTTGGAAAATATAACATGTAAGGAAGAGTGGTAGAAGGACGAGGAAAGGCTTTGGGCCCTGAGACAGGGACTTTCAGCCCTGCGTAGGCTCTGGCACAGAGCATGGTGGCCCACAACTATCCTTGTCTGCTGAGAAACAGCCACGGATGTGGGATCTGAGCATGACAACCTCCAAACAGAAATGAGGTTCCATAAAAGCACTGAATGGGATTCCGAGCTTCACAATGAAGTGCCATTAACAGGTAGTTTCACAGCCTGTCTTCCAGCTGCAGAGGCTGATGCTGGGTGGGGACTGGCAGAGGGTGACCTCCATGACCCTCAGGGTGGCCCAGCCGTAGGACCCCAAGCCGCACTCAAAGCTTTTGTCAGGCTCAAAATACTTGGGTTACATAGTAATGAAAACTCATTCATTCTCTCAATTAATGCACTAAGTGCTACAAATGCAAGTACATTTTCTCTTAAGAATATTAAGAAACAGTTACCCTGTTGTGGTCCTGCTGAGCATCAAGTGTCGATGGTTTTATAGAAATGAGACTTAAGCTACCTGCTATAAGAGTCCCGGTCCTTGTTCCTCAGAATATCTGAGTAACTCAGGTTTGAGATCTATACTTCTTTTATTGACCTCATTCTTCTATCAAAAGAACTTTGGTTGTCTGAGGTCTATAGAAGGAGAAAGGGGATTTTAAACTACAGTGAATTTTAATCAGAGAGAAAGCTTATGCACCAATGTCTACTAGAAGTATTATTTTTCTTGGAAACTGACTCCTTTGGTATGTGGGGGACACATCTACGAAAAAGATGACATGCAGGTGATAGTTCTTGAGATAATTTGTAGAGAATGAGATCTGATTTTACATTGAGATAATTTGTAGAGAACTAGATCTGATTTCACATTGAGATAAGCTGGTGTTTGAATCAGAACCTTCGGACTGTCATTATTTTGTCTTGTTCATTAGATTCAGAACTTGCTCTGATGTACAATGATGAGTCTGTGTTGGAAAACCATCACCTCGCCGTGGGTTTCAAACTGCTGCAAGAAGAGCATTGTGACATCTTCTCGAATCTCACCAAGAAGCAGCGTCAGACACTCAGGAAGATGGTCATTGACATGGTAGGACGTCAGCCTCTCTGCACGCCTCCTTCGTTACACCTCTGCTGTTCCTCCCCATGGGTGGACTGTATTAAGAGCTTCCCTTTTCTTTTACCCAAGGTCTTGGCGACAGATATGTCCAAACACATGAGCCTGTTGGCAGACCTGAAGACAATGGTAGAGACCAAGAAGGTCACCAGCTCAGGCGTCCTTCTCCTGGACAACTACACTGACCGCATCCAGGTATCTTTTGCCAGCCTTGGACTTAGCACGAAGCCAAGCCAAACTAAAGAAAACAACAATTAGAAAAGGGAAAAGCCACAAATTCAGTTAGTTACATACCCTAGGCTACTACTACAGCTTTAGGCTTATTTTAAGAACAAACTAAAAAAAAAAAATAGACTTCTGAGTTTATCCTCTAATTTGTGAGGAAAAATATAAACCTATTTATTGAAGTGCTTAGTTCTAAAAATAAATTGCAAAATCTATTTGTAACAGGACATATGTGACTGCTGATCCCAAAAGTTCATGCTTGGATTTGAGCCCCATTGACTTGCAGTTGGGTCTGTGTTAGACATACAGACCACCATCAGCTGGCCTCTTCTTTCCACAAGTGGAAAAGACGACTATGTCTGCTTCGAGTAATTCTTTGCACTCTTTCCGAACTGAGGAAAGGAGACAATATACCAACGTCTGACCTCAAAGGTCCCTTCCAGCTTTTAAAGTCCCTGTTGGTCTGGGAAGACACACATTTTCTCTCTTTGGGTCTGTGTCTGATGGTGAATAATCAACCCTAGCCAGCTCTGTAACAGTACTGCTTTTTGGGGTTCAGGCGTCATGATTATCAGGCTCCTAAAATGTTCCCAGGCCTGGTACCGAGCGTGCAGGGAGGAGAGGGCTGAGGTGTCGAGGCTCTGGCATTATTCACACATGAGTTCATGGGTTCCCACCACGTGGCCCTGTAGGTCCTTCGCAACATGGTGCACTGTGCGGACCTAAGCAACCCCACCAAGGCCCTGGAGCTGTACCGGCAGTGGACCGACCGCATCATGGAGGAGTTCTTCCAACAGGGCGACAAGGAGCGGGAGCGTGGCATGGAGATCAGCCCCATGTGTGACAAGCACACAGCCTCCGTGGAGAAGTCTCAGGTACCCAACACAAAATTTGCAGAGATTCTGTGAGCTCTGACAATCTCAGGACGGGGGAGGAGCGTCTGTCCAGTCCCTTCTTTTCACAGACTGTGTCGTGAAATGACACAGAGGCAGCCTGGCATTCAGCTCCATGGCACTCCCGGCTCAGCCGACTTTCCACAGCACACAGTTTCACAGGTGGGGATAGTGCACTCATCCCAAACCACAGAGTTTTGGAGTGTGTGTCCCCAGATTGTTCAGACAGTTGTCTAGGACCTTAGCCAGTCCAGCTGCTGTCCCCCCATCCCGTCCAGCTGCTCTCCTCCTCATCCTGTTCCCACCCCCGGCTCTGTTCTGTGTCTACAACCCCCCACTGTCTCCCACCAGAACCCCCCCAGTCAAGCCCAGTCTGGTCCCTTTCCGAGGTTGCCTCCAGGCCTTGGAGAACATGCTGACATTGTCTGGCTGTATTCATAGCTGCACATTCTCTGTGTGCTGAGGACAGGGGCAGTAGGCCACACAGAAGTGTACAGATGCCAGTAGCTGCGGAATATCTGTGCTGGGAAATATCAGCATCCCCACAATGGCTTCAGGGTTCTTTGAAATGTCATTTCTTTCAGGAGAATGAGCTGAGCCAGAGGCTGTGAGTAAGGATAGGTTCACAGGTTGTCTCAAGTCTTCATTCCAAAACCATCTGCAGTGTTTTTTTAAGTGTCTATCCTCTTTCCCACTACCTGCAAATCTCAAGTTTGCATACACCTGTGAGATGAATGTACAGTACCTAGTGTTTTGCTGCTTCTTAGAGAAACCCAATGACATGAAACTGAGACCAATGACGGTGCTGAAGTCAATGTGCTGTGGAAACACAGACGCACTGGATGAGTTAGGGCTGGCGCCGTGCCTCAGAGCCTTACCTGGAACAAGGAGGCCATTAACTGAGAAAAGTCTCGCCCTTTGGTAACAGCAGTGATGCTCTCTGCGTGACGTTCTGTGCCGTTTTCCACACATGATCCCATGTGAACCCCTAAACAGCCTTGCGAGATGGGTGAGGCAGGCATTCGCCCCGCATGTCTGGTGCAGAGCCCTGCTCTAGGCCCAGCTCAGCAGCCACATCCACCCAGAACCCCTCACTCTCTATCCTGTGGGCGAGTCTCCCTGCAGCTGTGATGCCACCGTCCACCGGCAGGTCCCACGGGTGGGCTCTGTTGGACCTTCTCCCATTAGTCCAGCAGCAGAGCTCTTGGCTGGGTGCTTGGATCACAGAGCTCTCTCCCCCGTGACCTAGGAAGTAGCGGCCAGCAGCTGCCTGTCAAAACGTCCTCAGCATTTCTTAACAGAGGCAAACAAACGAGAGGAGATGATGGCACTGCCTCAAGCTCATTCACCTTTCTCTTTTGGCTTGAGCTTATTATTTTGGGTCCCCGGAAAATACCTTGAAAATTGTCTCTAAAATCCACAAAACACCCATAAAGAAGTAAAAGGGAGGAAGACAAAGGGGGTGGGAGAGAACTATCTGAATCGCCCATGGTCAAATTCTTACAATCAGTGCAGATCAGAGGTGCCCAACATTGGTGTGAAGGCTTGTTTGCTAAGGCCAGGAGAGCCCCAGAGAAGAGGATGCGTGTGTACAGATGTATGAATGGAAGTCACATACAGCCCAGCTTCTCATGTACAGCTCAACTCGGGCGCCTTAAATGACTGGCAGGATGCCAGCATGTTAACAAAGCAAAGTTCCCAGCAGCGTGGAACACTGCCTATGTAACATCCCGGGGCGCCCTGCCCACTCCTGCCGCCCAGCCTGCCCAGCACCCCTCCAGCCCCCTAGACCATGGCCGGGAATTCCATTCTCTCACTCAACTCCTGCCTATTCTCCATCTCTACCTGCCCCCACCCCCGTGTTTCCTGTTTGTTGGACCATGTGGAGGTCAGCGTAAGGCCACCTGGCTAGCTTATGCCGGATGCCCAGCCCCCGGTAACCCTAACAGAGCCACGGCCTCACGCTGCTCACAGGGGCACCAGCGGCAGCGGCTGCTCCCTGGTCTTCATTCTCCCTTCTCTCTCCTGGTGGAGAGGATGTGTGCCCTGTGGACCCCAGACACTGGCACATGTGCCGCAGAGGGGATATGGGTTTGTTCCACGGCTTGAAGTATTTTCCAACATTTTATCAAACTCCTCAATGGGCAAAAAACATCCCAGCAAACTGGAAAAACTCCAGGGTAGTCAGCGTCCCACCGTTCTGAAGCAGAGGCAGGCGCTAAAGTTATCAGAGAAAGAGTCTTGAGTCAGAGTGTGTTAGACGTGGGGCTTCCTTCACGGAATGACTCACAGAATCCGAGTGCTGTCAGGGTCATTCCCGGCCAGGATCACAGCCAGACTTCTGATCTGGTGTATGTAAAAGAAAAGTAGTCTGTCACTGTGGGATGACACAGCTTTGGAGTCACTTACCAGTGTGTGACAAGATGTCCCTCTCAGTGAGCCTCCCTTTTCTCCTCTGTACATGGTGATGGTGTCGTCACCTTGCAGGACTGACGGTCAGCACACCGGCTGCCCCAGTGCAGGGCCAGCCCCACAGTGAGTGCTCAGATAATGGGGTCCACTCGTACTGATCTCCCTGGGGTTGTGATTGTTCCTTTGCGTGGAAACCAGGACAGCGTGCTGTGGGGTCCCCAGAGGCGCCTTCTGTAATGGACATGTGGCCTTTCCTTCCTCCAGGTCGGTTTCATCGACTACATCGTGCACCCCCTGTGGGAGACCTGGGCAGACCTTGTGCAGCCCGATGCTCAGGACATTCTGGACACGTTGGAAGATAACAGGAACTGGTACCAGAGCATGATACCCCAGAGCCCCTCCCCACCACTGGACGAGCAGAGCAGGGACTGCCAGGGGCTCCTGGAGAAGTTCCAGTTTGAACTGACCCTGGAGGAGGAGGACTCGGAAGGTCCTGACAAGGAGGGAGAGGGCCACGGCTACTTCAGCAGCACCAAGACACTTTGTGTCATTGATCCAGAAGATGGGGATCCCCTGGGAGAGACTGACATAGATGCCGCAACAGAGGACAAGTCCCCCGTCGACACTTAATCTCCCCGTCCGTGTGGAGAGGAACATTCCGCCCTTGAGGAGCATGCCAGCCGTGTGTGGGGCCAGCCCACCACAGGCCGTGGCTTGCATGGGACAAAGCCGCTTGGCCTTTCCAGTTACTTGAGTTTGGAGCCAGAACGTGAGACCGTGAGCTGAGCAGCAGCCCGGGACACCCTGCGGCTGGCCTGCCACGCTGCCAGGGCAGTGGGGGGCTGAAGCTCAGGAGTGTCCGGAGGCCGGCTCTGATCGGGACGAGACACAGCATGGAGAAATAGTCCACGCTCGGTGTCGGGAGCCTGTCCCCCAAGTGACCAGACTGACAGCTTCTTGTATGAACCTGCTCACCTGTCCCTTGTCTGCCCACCTGTGTGCCTTTTTTGTAAAACATTTCCATGTCTTCAAAATGCTCGTTGAATACCTAGAGTTTAGTATATCAACTTCTACACGAGAAGCATTCAAAGTTGACATAACTTTTTTGATTCTTTCTGGAAGAAAAAAAAAGGAAAGAAAACCGTCTTCCTTCTTTCTTGGGCAATATTCTTCACTTGACTACAGTTACTTTGCAAATGGACAGGATTCCCCTCTAACCACATTCTCCTTCCTGCCCTCCGTCCAGCCGGCTCCACAGCTGTCTCTGTGCCTGCTTCACTCAGTATCTCTCCTCTGGAGCTGCACTCTTTTGCTGTGCACAGAATAAAGAACAAACTGGGGACTAGGAAAGGGCAGTTGTGTCATTCACCGTAAGAGTCTGTGTAGAAACCAGCTTAACCAGGCTCTGTGCCCTGCTGTGCCCGACCCGCTGCCCAGGGGCAGCCCTGTCCCAGCCTGCCCCCCCAACTCACCATACGATTATGCGCTGTTTTCACCGTGATGCTGCCGTCTCTCTCACACTGCCTCTGCGCTAACACCCCGATCCCTGTTTACAATCCTGTATTTATTACTCAATGTATATAATGTAATGTTTTGTAAGTTATTAATTTATATATCTAACATTGCCTGCCAATGGTGGTGTTAAATTTGTGTAGAAAACTCTGCCTAAGAGTTGCAACTTTTCCTTGTAACGTTTTGTATTGTGTATTACGTGACCCTAACATGGCTTACCAGAGACACGGCCCCTCTGGCAGTGAGGACAGCAGTGGGCTTCTGTTTGGAGATTCTGCACCCTCCCGGGCTGAGTTGCTAATACTGCACAACCCTTTATGAACCAGTTTTGGAAATAAGATTCTCACATTAGATACTAAATGGTTTATATTGAGCTTTTACTTTTGTATAGTTTGATAGGGGCAGGGGGGCAGCAGGAGGTAGATTTTACCCACGTCCTATCCAAATCTGTGCACGCATGAGTTGGGTTATAACTGGGTTCTACATAATCATGGCTTTGGTTCAAAAAGCAACACTACATTTGCTCATAGAGGATTCTTCTGAGTGTTCCCAAACTACTGACTTTTTGAAGAGCTAGCCTCCTGCCTGCCCATGACTGGGAATGTCATGTTCTAATTCATTACAAAAGAAAACAATAAAAACAATGTGAATTTTTATAATAAAATGTGAACTGATGTAGTAAATTACATGAATGTGAAGCTTCTTCTGAGAACACTTGGGAGGCCTCAGACTGGTGTCAGTTTCATTCTGTAAAGTGTTTCAGGCTTTAGGTTCAGCTTTGTGATGAACAGTCGAGAAAACAACACAGCCGAGTGTGGCCAGTGGGTCTGTGCATCTGTGCGCCCTGCATTGTTTCAGGTGAACACTTGGTCATTTCCAGAAGTTTCTCACAATGTATGTTATGGTATTATTATTATTATATGTTGTGTTCAAACGCATTCTTAAGAGACTTTACCCAGGTGAATAAACAACAGCATGATCAGATTAGACCGTAGGCCCCGTGATTTTGTGGTTAGTTCTGACGTATTAAAAGCAGATCTTTCTGTTCTTTCCAGCCATTCCCCACAAAGAAAGCCAACCACTTTATCCGGTCAGCATCACAGCTGAAGTTTCAAAATCTGTGTCCAAAAAGTCCCCCAGCTTGGAACGTTTCACTTTTTTTCTTAGCAGCTGTTCACCCAGCTCAGTGGTGCAGGGAAGGGGCTGTTGAAGGAAAACAAACACAACCGCTTTGTTTCATCTTGGACCATTTCTTTCTACCCCTTTATGAATTTGAAGAGGCAGGTGGATTGCCTGAGCTTAGGAGTTCAAGACCAGCCTGAGCAAGAGTGAGACCCCATCTCTAAAAAAAGCCGGGCACTGTGGTGGGTGCCTATAATCCCAGCTACTTGGGAGGCTGAGGCAAGAGGATCACTTAAATCCAAGAGTTTGAAGTTGCTGTGAGCTGTAACGCCACAGCACTCTACCTAGGGCGTGAAAGTGAAACTCTGTCTCAAAAAAAAAATATGGAGAATTTAATCTACTAGATAAATAAAGGGAATCCCCAACTTGGCTGGGTCCTCCAGAAAAATGAATCATAGATCAGAGAACATCAGCATAATGTTTGCCAGGTCATCTCACTGATTCACCTGACACACAAAAAACCTGTGGCCCAAAGACTCCTCTTAAACTGCAGTCCACAGAGCACGGGCAGAGCTCACGCCTTTCTCAGGGATCCATGCAGTCTCCTGCTGATCATATGATGTGATTTTATGTCTGGAAAGAACTGTTTGAATATCATAAGAAAAATACTTAAATGCTTTGTTGAAATCCTAAAGTCAGCATGTAAAAATATTTTATCTTGAGAGGTGTGTGTGTGGGAGGAGGTGGCACACAAGGATCCTGGTGGTCCACAGAGCTCATCCACAGGATGGGGTCTGCCCTAAATGAGCTCCTTGAGCTGGCTGGAATCACTGCATTTCTCTATAAGGACTCGTGAAGATGAGCTGACATGCAGTGCCAGCGTGCTCGACTGGCCACAGGACTCATGTTTCCAGCACTTTCCACACCTCTGATTTCTGAGGGCACCTTATTGTCACTGAGCTTTGACAGACAGAGTGTCAAAGCTGTCACAGTGCTCACAGGTGTGACGTCCACGAAGGCCTGTTAAAAAAAAATCCATATACTTGATCTTCTTAGGAAAGAGCAGAGGACATGGGGGAAGCCTGATTTGAAAACCTCCCCATCCCTGGCCCTTTCCAGCACCATTTTAGATATGGGAATTTGGACAAATCACTTAAATTTTCTAAACCAAAAACATGTCTGATCAAAAGCATCCAGTGACAGGGAACTCAGCAATATCCTTTCAAATAATGTGACTTATTAGGTTTCTGAGATGCAGTCAAATTTTACTCCTCTAGCGCACCCTCTGATTTGTGGTTTCCTTTTCATATGATTCCTTCTCTGGTCTCCTTTTCCAGTTGGAAATAGGAGCCAGACTTCCAGAGGGTTTGACGACATGACCTTGGGGACAATTGTGTGGGCTTTCTGCAGCTCCATTTCCTCATCTGCAAAATAGAGGCATTAACAACCATACCTATGTCCCAAGATTATTGTGAGGATTAAGCGGTAAAAGTTGGAAACTATGGCTTCTGGCCTATGGTGTGCATTTAGCAGAGTCTAAGTGTGAGTAGCCAGAGGCAGCAAGCTTCCTGCCTGTAGTTCCTGAAATCATTTTTCCTATGCCCTTTGTTCACTAGTCTGGTTGAATTATTCTGGACTTGTCCGAATAGACAGAGCTTCTATTAGGATGAGTGTTCCAGAACCAAGCACCACGCTTCTGTCATGGGAGGGCTCCATGTGACTCTCTCCCTTCCTGATTCTGAACATGGCACCAAAGCCACCACTGAGTTCAGGTGGGGCTGGCAGGTGCTTAAGGGCAAACAAGACCCTTCATACCGTTCCCATGAGCCTCTGTTAGGGCAAGCCACCTCCGTTTTGTACTCATATAATTAAGTTTTTGAACTTCAGTGTAGAATTTGTACTTTTACCTGAAAAACCAGTAGCATGTAGGAGAAAGAGTTTCCATTCACATCACATTAATCTATTTAATCTATGTGTAAAGCCCGGCTCTAGCACCACTTGATGACCTTGGAGAAGGCATTTTTTCTGTAAAATGGAGAAATGTTACTCATATCAGAAAATTGTTTGGGAAGAATAAATGAGGAGTGGGCACATTCCCGGGATAGAATGAATGAGTGTTATTAGCGATATTAACACCCTTCCGTGGTGAGTAAATGAGATAATGAGTACATGGAAAACATTTCCATATTATGAGTTCAAGTCTGTTAATTTTGGCCTAGTCATTTTGAATTCTGATTCTCAGAACGTATTAACTATGCCTCCATCAAGATCTGTGCTTTACATCTTTGATAATTAGGTATTTTATACTCTTATGTCACAGCCCACCACTGCCACTGCTTGTCAGGGCCCAGGAATGGCCAGGTCTCAGGCCCGGCTTACCTAGGTTCTGGACGCAGACTGCCAAGCTACCTTACTCAGGAACAATTTCTCTCAGGTGTCTGAGGGCTATCTACTTTAGCGAGAGAGAGAGAGAGAGTCTTAGAGTAAAGGTCTTCTTAGAAAGACAGATCTTAGTCTTTAGCAGAGCTTGGTAATCTTCAACAGAGAGGCGCTGTGCTGGCGTTCTGCAGGCAGGAGAGGAGACAGAGTCAGAGTAAGCAAGTCTGTGATAGAATGCACATTCTCCCGACTGCCTTCTCCTCCAGCCTAATAAAAGGCTGATCTTGTGCCTCTTACACCACAGGTGTAGACTGCCAATTCACCAATGCTCTCATCTCATGAGCTCTCATGCTTGTTAGGAGAGCTAAATCCTACTCCATGCCCTTTTCACCAAGGTGTTCCATTATTGAGCTATACAGATATTTCTTATAACACTCACTCCTCCTAGCCATAGGCTATACAGGTTGCTACACTCTTTTTCTCACTTTAGTAAAAGTGTTAAGCAATGGAGGAGGAGGAATGGCTGTGAGCTAGGCTGCCAGCCGCCCTCTAGATCAGAACTGATCTGTTAGTCAAGGTTCCAGGGGAACGGTCCTGAGTCAATTATAAATTCCCCATCACACCATCACGTAGGCCAATCAGGAAGAACGAGATCAAAGTCTCTCTGACACTCAGGCACCAACCCAAAGCCTCACCCTCCTGGGCACACTCTGCGGACCCTCACTCACAGAAGCGTCTGTGCCCGCACGGCTCGTCCTCAGGAACTAATGATGGTTACTTCCCATTCAAGAAGCCTGAGAAGTATCCAAGAACAATCCATTCTGGAATTTTTCAGACATCAGTTTCATGCTTTCTTTATGGAAAGGGAAATGGTATTTGCCTGCTATGCATCTGCTGATTTGTGGTCTATTTTGTTCTCTCTGCTTTCTCAAAGATCACCAATTCTGCATCAAAAACATGCTGTGAGGTCCTGTCAACAGTCCAGGAAATCACGTGCCTGGAACACAGAACTACTTCGAGAGCAGAGAGGGTCTTTCAGTATCTTTTTGCTGTGCTTGGCGTGTCTAATGGAGAGCGTGGCACTCGCACACTCTGAGTTAAGGGCTTCTGTCCTTATAAGTGAGGACAACTGTCTCCTCCCACCAAACCCACAGTCTCAGAAAGGAGCCCACGGAAGAGTGAAGAGGACAAGCAGGTCTGTGTACCGGTTCAGATGGACTCTCCAGCACCACGACTGGTTCATCCAGTGATACTTTTCAGGCCCTGTTCTGAGACTCTGTCCCTGTCCTTGTGCATCCGAGCATACAGGAAAGTGGGTGTGTGTTACAAACGTGCTCAAGTGCAGGGACATAAAACACAAACGTGGGAGCACCAAACTCTTGGTGGGAGGACAAGGTCAAGTCTTCAAGGACGAGTGGGAAGCCATTACCAGACCAAATGGACCAGGAGAGGGCCGGCAGGAGGCCCACGTTCCAGAAGGAAGGGAATGTGAAGATGGGCTCGGGAGCATATCTTTGAGGCCAGTGTGTTCACAGTTCACTTAGTCAAAAATATTTGCTGCTCTCCCAGACAGTGGGGACACAGAGGCACACAGGAGAAAACCCCTGCTTGTGAAAACTGCAGTCACAGTCGGTGAAACAGCAATAAGTGTTTCGAGTGACTGTGTTGTCAGTAATTGTACAGGAGGATCTTGGTAGAAGCTTCTCTGGGTTTCTAGCTAGAAGATCACACTATCGGCAAAAAGGGAGAGTTTGGCCTCTGCTTTCCTGACGTGGATCCCTTGGTTCCCTTCCCCTGTCTGATTGGTGTCGCTAAGACATCCAGTGCTATGTTCAAGAGCAGTGGTGACAAAGATGTGTAATCAACACAAGAGCCCACAGTTGACAAGCTGAAGGACAAAATGTAGTGGATATGGACCGTGGGGTACTCCTCGCCATGCAAAGCAGTGAATTGATGTCTTTTGTAGCAATTTGGATAGAACTGGAGACGATTATCCTAAGTGAAGTATCTCAAGAATAGAAAAGTAAATACCACATGTTCACTTTCTAATAATTTGGAGCTACTTGGTGGGCACACACGGGCATAGAAAGAACTAAATTTTGCTGGAAATTTAAAGTGGGGCAGAGGGAGGGGGAGGGGCCAAACCCTACCTGACGGTACAGTGAACACCATTCGGGGGATGGGCA